ACATGCAAAATGATGAAAAATATCTAACATATCCCCCCTATTTTTCAAAATTTTGATTTAGAGAAAATGAAACGGCTGCATCACAAAAATTGATTGTCTACGTACCCTTAACGGGATCAAACCACCGTAGTTCATGCAAACACACACACAAAGTATCATCGTAGGAAATTGTACATAAATGAAAGTAGCTTTTGACATTGAACTTTTACTTAGTGTAAACAACTCAAAGTTTCATCAAGGTGCTATGGTGAACGAATCTTGAACCAAGGACCCTATCATGACTAGACGGAGTCATTACACATATTATTCCGATAAAGAGCGTCTCTTTTATACCAACGCATTAATGGCCTTGCGTATATCCATTGGAACTGTTTTGCTTTCCCTCATCTCACGAACCCTTCGAGCCAGCTATCAAAAGATTTCAATTTCAATAAAATCCAGGCATTTTTCCAAGATTACGACACAGTTAAGTGACAAGCATCTGGGAAAGTTCACCACCTATAAGTCGAGGAAAAAGCAGCTAAATTGCCATGCAAAAACAAGTCACTTAACTTTCACCAATACAAATAAATGTGTACAGTAATAGCACCCTAAATGTAAAATAATAAATAATAAAAGCACCTAAAAGGAGGAGAGAGGATGCTAACATACCTCTCCATTTCCTTCATTGAAGAGATTATACCCCGCGACCTGACCGGGCAGGTCGATTTCCGTTGTGTAGCGACAAACACTAGTTGGGACGGCAAAATATTCGCAAAACAAAAGATAACACATGCAAAATGATGAAAAATATCTAACATAATTTCCATTTTCACAACTGTCAGTGACTCAGTTTCATATCTTTTTAAACCCGTCTTTTCCCTTTCCTCATTTCACGCGAGTAAAATGGGGTTGCATAATTTCCATTTTTCTGAATTCGTAGTTGGATTGAAGCTCGGCTAAAGGGTCAAACTGTTGTGTGCATAATTTCCATTTTCGGATTGAAGCTTGGCTAAAGGTTGAAGCTGTGGGCAGGAGGCGCCTCCGTGCGGGCACGGAGTTTTTTTTTTTTTAAATCAATTTAATTAGGGGCAGAAAAGGTGAAACTCAAAAGAATTTAAATAATTCGAGACTGATTATGCCGGAATTCTGTTCTTTGTGTTCTTAATTGCTTAAAAGAAGTTTCAAGACTCCACGGTCTTACATTTTCAGAGCAGTCATTTTTCACGCCAGTTCGGCAGTTTTTCATCTGGTTCTGCCTATTTTCAGCCCAGTTAAATGTCTTCAATGCTGGTTCGATTTTTCTCAATCAGTTTCAATTGTTTTTGGTAGATTTATACCAGTTCAATGCTGGTTTCTTATTTTTTCTAGCCATTTTACATCGGTTTAGATCATTCCTTGCTTCTTTCATGCTTGTTCCGAATAATTTCAACGCAGTTCAACTTATATATCAATCATCTTCTAACCCAATTGTGCTTCCTCTTTTATCAGTTTCGCCGAGTCAATTGTCCATTTGCCTTAACTCTGCAAAAGCTATTGGCTGTACAATAGTCAATATTGGTACTCAAGAATTGATTGAAGGAAGAGTGAGTGGAACCAATTTGCTACTAAACATGCATAATATGTATATTATTTGCCTGACAAATTTTTATAAACCTTTCATCTTTTCTGCCTCATTTGCTACTCGGGTTAATTTCTCAAATTATAAAGGTTAGTGCCCTTAGTCTTTTTTACATTTTGTAGCTTCTCTATAGCAGAGAGAAGAAAAAGAGGCAGAAAGAGGAGTATTGCTTTGTATGTTGATTCACATTGTTAAGTTAGTCTTACTGGTTGACCTTTTCAAGTTGTTCTTTAAGTATAAATTAGTTCAATAATTCTTAGACGTGTATAGACATGCACTTCCATATATGTATATGCATGTTTGGAGGTGTTGCACACACATAGATACATGTACAATTGCAAGTAAAATCAAATCACAGAATAGACCTGCACTTCTGCAATTGCATGGAGTGCTAGAGTGGTCTTCACATTACTTTCTGGCCCATATATCTGAAAAGAAAGGCACAAGATTATCAGTTTCAACAAGCAGCAGCTAATTCTTTGATATGCTAAATGCTGAAGTAATGAAACAACTATTTAATCATTGTTTTCAGAACATACACACACAATCTTATAAGTTTAATGGAATTGTTTAATCTTAAAGGAGAAAATGTTTAAATTTGCTTCATGGAAGTGGTCTATCATTATTTAGTTCACTTAGCCCTTCCACTAACAGTAAACCACGTGACAGGTTGAGGCCATAGTAATGTCTTTACTAACTGCACGTGGGTTTCAGGATCATGCAGCTCGTAATATTTGTTTAAGGTTCTGGCAGTGTAAATGTTTCGAACCACCATAATAGATACATTTACATCCTTAGACTACTAATGCAGTGTTATTATCAGATCTGTGGTGTCACAGCTTCTAAAAACAAGAAGACACTGGGGTTGCAACCAGAGAAAATTAGATGGATAAAGTTAAAAAGGTACTAAATGTAACACCTCTGCAATCCTTCCTTTCACGGAGGCACATAGTGTGCGCATGGAGAAAATTTACTGACTTTATAGCTGGAATTCCTTGTGATTTTGGAAAATGCTTGGTATAAATCTGCGCTAAAATCATTGGCTTACAGCTTAAAATTAGTTCTTAGTCAGAAAGTTTTTATTTTACAAGTGATCATTTATTAAATTTAAATGGGTCATTGTCCCACAAAGCTAATTAGGAAGTTGATTGTTGTTGGATGCTTTAGGAAAAAATAACTCCTTCATGCTTCATCATATGAAGGAAACCATCAACCAACATCAATTCCAAAATAAAATCATTTCTATCTTGTCGACAATAACCAACTAACGTGCAACACACGTTCTCTTCACTAGTGTGGTTAAAAAGTATGAATTTTTTTTTGGATTTAGATGTAAACTATTTTATTGTTTGAATGTGTGATTAAAAATGAGTATGTAGAAAGAGTGAGTGACAAAACATGGATTAAATAAGCCCATATTTGGTCTTCATTAAATTAAAACTCATTTTTCTCTATTTTCTTATTAATTACACATTTTTCAATAAAATAGTATTACACATAAATCTAACGCTCTGTTTGAAATGTTTAATTTTCCAGGGAAAATGTTTTCCATTTTCTAACTTAATGAATGTTTGATAGTCGAGATTTCGCAAGGAAAATATTTTCCCTTTTACTCCCTCACGCGCCACTTTTCTACATTTTCAAGGAATTGGGTTTCCTTTGGTTTGTGTGGGAATTCATTTTTCGATTTTTTTTTTTTTTGGGCAATTGGAAAAAATTCTAGGCATAACGGTAAACTTTTTTTCACTTTTATTCACAATTTTTATGCAAAATAAAGCAAAAAGAATGGTATTCAGTATGGTTATTTTTAAATTTTTTTTTTTGGCAATTTGAACAAATTCTACACCCAATGGTAGAAAATATTATCACTTTAATGAACAATTTTCATAAAAAAAAAGTCAAACGGATACCAAACTTTCAACATTTTCCATGAAAAATTATATAAATCAAACACAATTAAATACAATTTCTAATAAAACAATTTATAAGCAAATCAATTCCCTGCAAAATATTTTCTTTCCACCAATTTTTCACATTTGCAATCAAACGGACCCTAATAATTTTTTCTTCTTTTTTAAATACACATTTTTTAAAAATTTACTATTTATCTCTCGTTATAACGTGAAATAATGGAGCCAAACTAGTGTTAAAAACATTTTATATTTTGTATTATAATAATTAATAAAGCTTACAAATTTTTTATGAACATGGAAACTACAAGCCAAGGTGTACCCTCACATGCAACTGATTCAAGGAAGTTCTGGAATGATATTTGGAAGCTAAAAATTCCACATAAGGTGATAATATTTGCATGGAGGGCTTGTAAGGAGGCTCTCCCTTCAAAATTGAACCTGTTAGAAAAAAGGTTCGGCTCGATCCAGTATGTAGTTTCTGTAAGTAGGAACACGACGACTTAATTCATGCATCATTTACCTGTACTGAGATACAAGCATACTGGACAAAAAAGATTTCAACACTAGCAGCCACCTCGATCTGCCATGCAAGTAGTTAAGGAAATGCATTCTAAGGGGAGCACTGAGGAAGTTACGAAACTTATTCTTATGGCATGGAGCGTGTGGTACAGGAGGAATAAAAATATTGTATAAGAATGTGAGTGTCCATCCTTATCACGTGATCTCCTTTGCCCCTCTCCCAAAAATGTTATGGTTCTCCTATACAAAAGAAAGCTATGCAGAAAGACCATCTCTGAAAATCTCCTCCTACAAATTTTTTCAAGCTTAACATTGATGAGGCAGCCTTTTTTGATTATAAAAAATTCGGTTCGAGTGCTATACTCATGAATGCTGATGGGGATGTAATTATGACTTTAAGTAAAGAAGAGAACGAAGCTTTTGAAGTCAAAGATGTGGAAGCAATGACATTGTTGAGAGGCCTACAGTTCATCTCAAACCTTGGTATACAGAATTTAATCATCAACAGTGACAGTCTATTGCTAGTTGAAGAAGTTAATAAGGTTGATGAGTCAAGTGCCACGTATAGAAACATTATTGAAGAAGCCAAGCATCTTATGAACACCTTCCGTATATGCATCCTGGAACACTGTAGCAGGCTCACAAATGGTGCGGCACATAGACTTGCTAGACACTCATGGAATATTAAAGATGTCCAAATATGGTGGCATAACTGTCCTGATTTCATTGTAAATGTTGTTTACCATGACAAACATTTTTGTAATCGGGTTTGAGGTTTATGCCCCCGTTTCAATGATGCAAATTTTTCTATAAAAAAATAAAAAATAATAATAAAGCTTAGCCCTTGTTTGAACCACATTTTTATTTCATTAAAATGAAAAATATAACCGTTATCCATCACATCAACATTTAAATTCAAATTTTCTATCTATTGTGTGGGTCTCAATATCGACTATATTTTTCATTCTCATACTTTAATAAGTAGGCTCAAACAGGGCCTTAGTAAGAGGTGGGTCATCATCCCGAGGAATTATTAGTGAGTGGATTATACACAATTTGTATGTATAGCATGAATCTCAATAAAAAGGTTCATGGTTTATCTGAAACGAACCGTTTTATCCTCCCACATTCACCACAGTTACTTCCGTATTTTCAATCTAGAAACCCTACCACTGTTTTTACATTACCTTGTATGTGTCGCATAGTGTAGACAGTTGTTTGATTTCTATGTTCTTGAAAGAAGTTAATTATTGTATGTACGCATCTATACAGTATGTAAAATGAAGTGAAGATTCATATTCAAATACTGATTGTGAGTTTCTTACATCAATCCAATCCTGCTGTTTAATTTCAGTTTATTTACCGAATTACAGCCCATTTTCTTGAATAATAGATTGAATTCAAGAGTGAAAAGCTACTGTTTGTCGGTTTCTTGTATCAAATAAAACCCTATTTGTATTTACTAATTTCAATTCGTGTGCCAAATTATAGCCCAATTTGTTGAATTCTAGATTGATTTTTTATTTGATTTTTCCAAATATATATAGACATAGATATATACAAATGGCGGATAACGAAGAGGATGATTTGAAGATGGCATTAAGAATGAGTATGCAGCAGCATAAGCATCCGGAGCCGAAGAGGAGCAAATCGAGGGATGACTATGGTGGAAGCGGAGAGGTGCCGGAGGAGTCACCGGAAATGAAGAATCAGCGTATGCGGCGGGAATTAATGGCCTCCGCGGCTGAGAAGCGGATGGAAGCAGCTAAAAATGCCGCAGCAACAGTGTCCGCTCCAAAGAGTGCAGAGAGTATGAAGGAAGTGAAAATTAGTGGTTCTGGAATAGAGGGTAAAAGTAAAAGTCTCAGTTTGGAGACATGCCAGGAGAAAAATGGAAATTCGGGCGCAGAGTTATCCACAGCAGATGCTCACCAGCTTTTTTCTATGATTTTTGGGAATGAAGTCAGCAGAAATGTACTTGCACAGTGGAGTAATCAGGGCATTAGGTAAATTTGTTGAATGGAAAATTTCAGAACTTGTCTTTGACATGTTTTTGAGTGACTATATGCTACTTTCATTTGATATGTCGCTGCTATTAGAATTATGGGTTATCTCAATCAAATCAAAAGTAGATATGAAGAACATGTGAATGACTGATGACAATCTAATCACAAGTAGAGGAACTAAGTCTATACTGTATTTTCTGCTGTCTAATTTAGAAATATGGCTGTGAAGAATCAAGAGAACTGACTTTTGGAAACACCAACTACCCAACATCATTGTCAGTCTGTTGGGAATGGCATAGAAATAATTATTATTTATATTGTATCTGGTTTATAGTTGTTAATGCTAGTATCTTGTTTATAGTTTGTCATTGTGCACTATGCCATTTTATCTCCTTTCTGGAATATGGTAATGTTGTGCCCCTCAATGGAGAGCTTGTGTCTGAGCCATGAAATTTAAGAGCTGGAAGCATATAGCATTCAAATTTATAAACTCTATAAGCTAATAACTAAAGACGTGCCACATGTTGCTAAAGAAACTTCTTGTTTCCTTGGAATCATCATGTTGGTGTTCTAACAGAAGCTTTCTACTGTTCCGTGCTCATGCAAGACTAGGGAAGTCACTTATCCCTAACAGGAGTGGATTTAAAGAGTTCGTATATATAGAAATTCAACATGGATGGCATTGTGAGAGTATTCATCTCGCAATGTATATTGGATGAACATTTTAAGAGGACTTCCTTCTTAAGCTTTATATTGGGCAAATAGTGTAGAGTGAATAAGATTTTAAAATAGCAGAACTTGTAATATTATCATTTAAATTCAGAATCTTTCCGAGGTTGAGATCTTAATTCTGTTCGACATCTCTTACACGGTGATAGCAAAATGACATACAAAGGAATGTTCAGTTGGAAAAATGAAGTTTCAAAGACCGAAACATCCTTGCAGGAAACAAGATCAAATCATGATAAACTACCATCATGAAATTGAAATCATTTTAGAATAAAGAGAAATTTACTTTTCTGGATATCAGATTTTCTCGATGCCATGCGGACTTTTAAGAATCTATTACTCGTACCAGGTTATTTATTCACTAAGCATTCATATTTCAATAACTTCTATGGTTATAGCTGTGAAAATACATGGTAGAGTCTCATAATTGAGAAATATTTACTGGAAACATACAGTTATTTATATGCACATGCAACATACAGGACCCGACCATCCCTGCAAGAATATAATGGTTGATTTTGCTGTCCGCACTTATATTATCTCGGTCTAATAAAACAAATTTCAATACCAAAGCATTCAAAGCAATCTGGAAGCCCTAAAGCAAACTTTCCTGGTCATCAATAGCACCGCTAAGGAAGAATGGGGGAGCAATGGATTTAATTCCGCTGTTTGTGCTCCAGGTGATCTGGGATATGTAAACCCTGCTTGAGATCCTTACCAGAATCCCTTGGAAGTTCTTCTATTTTACCACTTCGCACCTCTGGCTCTCACCAATATCGATAACTTTGAAGACCTATCTTAGCTTCCCTCCGCACAATTACCATAAATTGCCTCACAACACCACTTGGCAACGAACTCCTTTAATTCACAATCTTTTACTTCCACACAATAGTTGATTGCCATCTATGACAACTACCTTTCTTTCCGGTTAGTGCAATTTTTATTGTACTTGCATTTTGAGTCCTATTTTTCTTAATCCTTTTCCTAAAAGAAACCTCTGAACATTTGGCAATCTCAGATGTATCGATATTAATGGCGACTCATTTCTTCAAACATCTTCTCCATTCTTGCTTTGGTTGGATATGAATATCTTATTTGAAAAATTAAAACATTATTTGTTTCAAGTTTACAATGTAGTTTCATTAAATTCTCAATAAATTTAATACTTTCTAGTATTAATAATAATAATCTTAAAACTCCATTTCTTATATTTAATTTTTCTTTATATGGCCCTCTTAAGTTTTAATTGACGTTTGCTATTTGATGTCAATTAGATTGATGATAAAGGCATGGTTTGAATAAGTTGACTTCTGGACAACAGCGATCACAGATTGAATATCTAAGTGGCTTTGACTTTATTATTTGCTTTAAGTCTGTCCAGAAACAATTGTCTTCCTTAGCTTGGAAATCAATAGTAGTAGTAGTAGGAGGCTGTGTATGTATAGTCAGGTCTGATTTTGACACCCTGTGTATGGATAGTGCCTTTCTTTGTTCATAGTGAGTATGATTGTGCATGCCCACAAAATATGTTGTTGACACAATTTACGTACGGATACATCTAGTTTCTATTATTTCTCTGAAGGATCTTAGTTATCCATGGAATTAAATCATTAATTATACTTTTACTCATACCTCCTCATTGCTTGTTTGTAAAATATGAGCTTGTCCATTTAGCTATTCTAAATATTTAGCAATAACTCTCTTCTAGGTTTAGTCCTGATTCAGAAACATCTATGGGGCTAGTGCAGCATGAAGGTGGTCCGTGCGGAGTATTAGCAGCTATACAAGTATTGCTTTGATTTCTCACTTCCAATTCAAAGTTAACTGCACAGACTTTAATACCAACTGCAATTGCCATATTTATACGTCTGCTAACATCATGTCTGCACTCTCTTGTTCTGCATCCTGAGTATATTTAAAATGAAGAATCTTGAAGCTATACAGAAGATATCATGTGTTGTGGTTCAGTTCAATTATGATTTGCTTGCCAAGTTACTCTTTCTTATTTGTCACATCCTCTCCAATTTTATTTTAGGTCGATATTCATTACTTAAAAATGGAAATTTTACTGAAACTTAATTGTAATTTATGGCAAAATGAAACTTTCTCCCTAACTTTATTCATGCATGCACGCTGTGAAATTCTTGTGGCATCATTTTTTTTAACATGTTCATTATAATAACTCACACTTATGTTCTTCATGTTTCATTGATGTTATTTATCCACCTAGCTTGCTGCTTAGCACATATGTCCATCATTGCATTTTTGCATGATTTCATTTGAAAAATTCCAATTTCCACCTTTTTAACTTATCACACTTCTTTATTGTTTACATTGTGTTCTATCTTCTAACATGCAATTTTTCCATTTGCAGGCTTTTGTATTCAAATATCTTCTATTTTGTCGAGAGGAATCAGACATTGTTGCACCAAACACGTCAACAAATTTGGGTGTTGTATCCAACAGTGAATCAATGGGTGCTGATATTTTTTCTTCCCTTTCGGAAGACTATAAATCAAGGTCATGGACCTCTTTATTCTTATGTTGTTAAGGACTTGACTAGGTTTTCCCTAGGCCCCATTTGCTGAGTCAGAACTTGGAAGAGGGGAAAATGAAAATGCACAAGAAGTTACTAATAACATTATGGATCTTGAATCTATATACATGGCATTACGGTCGCTTTGAATTTTTAGTAGTAGCACTCTATATTTAGCACCTATGTACATTACTCTGAGGTCCCTAAACTGCTATTTGCTGTGGCCGCGGGAAGGGTAGGCTACATAAGAATTATTATTTTTTCTTTGGTGTAATAATGTGGTTTTTGATGAAGTGGATGTACTCTGTTGATTTAAATCGCACTCTTGACTATTTAGTCCATTTTCAAGCAATTATCTGACTTTTATTCTGGATAGAATGCAGATCAGACTATCCCTTTTGCGAGTTTAACTAGCATGAGTACTGCCATGCACAACACAAGCTATTAAAACATTTGTTTCTACTTGGTCCCAGATAGTGAAAATTGTTCACATGCGACCTGGTTCTTAAGTATTTTCTTTGAAGAATTTTGTATTTCATGGTTAATTTTTTCACTTTAAAAGAGTTATCAAACCCCATTCAATCCCTCCACTAGAAGCAAAGGATAGAAAGAGTGTCAGAGGAAAGAATAAGAAAAGAAAGTAGCATGAGAAGTAATGAAGTTATATTTCTCAAGGTTGGTGTCCTATTTTAATGCTGGCCTTTAATTTCTGTTTTGCTCTCGTCTGCACATTATCTAGCGTCATCTGCAGTAGCTTTGACCTTTCTCTTATGTTTCTGTTTTTTGGTGCATTGCAGTAAATATGTTTACAGATAATTGGTTTCTTTTAGAGCTTCAGACGAAGCTTTTTAGTTCTTCAAAATTCAAATCCCGTTGTTGTTGATGTTGGTGTTAATTAAGCATTGGGGAAAGCTTACCTACATATTCTCGTGAGCTTTTGTGCTGTGCTACTTATTTCTTTATTTATTATACCTGCTCATTTCTTGGTGCAATTTTATTTTCTTCCTCTTTACAATGGAAGAAGACTTCGTTTTTTGAACTTCAACTCACTTTAAATAGTTTGGATTTTGCATTTATGAAACTAACAGTTTCAATGAAACTCTGATGACTATTCTGATCCACAATAGAGTAACTTGTATCTTCATGAATAGGTTTGGAAGTTTTGTGCTAGCTCATTTGGTAGACTTTTCTTCTTTTTCCTTTTAACTGTTAGTTTTTTATTTGTGTTCTGATAGTTGGTTTTGTAAATTCTGCCACTTCTATACAGAGCCTTGGTGAGGAGTATGAATGAGATGCTCTTTCTGTGTGGAAACAATGAAACAGCTGTAATAGCATCGATGGATGTTCTTGATGGTCATGCAGAGGAGTCCATGGATGGGTTGAAGGATGAGGTAAATTTATCACTTTCCAACATCTATGTAACATTTCAGTGGGTTTCCATTTCAAAAGTGGTACCATGTGGCTGTAATAACCTTCATTCAATAATAGTTAATGTGCAATTTACTAATAATCTGAACACTGTATATTGTTTGGTCAGACACTTAAAAAAATGGTAAAACTTGTGTTTACAATTATTATCCATCAACTGTTCCACTTTTTTTTTTTCACACTCCATGTATATCATCATCACAGGTCATTGAAAAAATTCTTGAAGGTGTTTCTTTTGAATCTGGGTTCGACTTGCAGAAGGTTTTGAAAGTTAGCACGTTCATTTCAAAGGCGAGTGCGCTTTATAAGCTAAAAGCGATGCTTCCTGTTTTCCGAAGTCGTCTGGGAGCGTTGCTTTTTCTGATATCTGCATTACTGTCACGGGGACTGGTATGTTATCTTATTATCCTATTATGATTGCATACTGTATGTGCCATTGCCTGTGTATATATTTATCTTGGATTGTTATTTGAACGTTAAGCAGCAGCGATAAAACATCCAGGTGTGGATGTCATTCTATACGACATATGAATGCCGAGCTAAATGTCCGTTAAAGGAGAATATTTAACCAATTTTTTTTTCTCGACCTTGTAACTAGGGAGGCTTTGTATTTGTCATGTGGAAATGGCTTTTCTGGGTGCTAAAAGCAGTTAAGTTGCTCCCAAGTAAAAATCGAAGCATTTCCACTGTCTTGTAAGCTAATCTGAGCAAAGTTTGAAATAAACATAACATATTGCGCACATAAAACTGTGTATATTCGTTGACATTTTGAATTGTCTATCACGTGACTTGTACATTTGTAATGCCTCGCTTACCATGTAGGACAATGTTCAATCTGACAGGGATGATCCCAGTCTACCATTGGTAACTGCTCCATTGGGGCATGCTTCACAGGTATTCACAAGGCTATGAATATTTCTTTTTTTTTTGATGATTTTTATAGATACTGGTATTTTTTTTCAGATGCTTTTTACGCATCTCTTGTTATTTGGAACCTTATTATGGACATGCTTGGTAAATGCCCAGGGCTGATCTCTAACCTTCATTTATTATTTTTACTTTTTCAAATAGGAAATCGTAAACCTACTGCTTTCTGGGAGTGCTGTTGCCAATGTGTTTGACGGGAAGATGGATTTCGGTGGTGGCATGTTTGTGAAGGGCATATCGACAACCGTGGAAGTTGGATTTCTCACTTTGCTTGAGTCTCTCAATTATTGCAAGGTTGGGCAGTATCTAAAATGCCCAAGGTGGCCAATATGGGTTGTTGGAAGTGAATCTCATTATACAGTCTTATTTGCTCTTGATACCAAAGTTCAGGAGGAGAACCAACTTGAAAGTAGAGAAGCACAGATTCGAAGAGCTTTTGATGCCCAGGATCAAAGTGGAGGTGGCGGGTTCATTAGTGTGGAAGGCTTCCATCAAGTCCTTAAGGAAACGAGCATTGACCTTCCTTCTGAGAAGCTTGAGCATCTTTGCAGCACGGGGTTTATCGTATGGAGTGAATTTTGGCAGGTTCTTCTGGATTTAGACAAGAATTTAGGAGGCCTAAAGAATTTGACTGGATTAATGGGAAAGAAGGTGTTTGATCTTTACCACTTCAACGGTATTGCAAAATCAGTTGCTAATGGTAGCCAGGCTACATCTGGACGTGAAAACCCGATACGAAGACCTCGGCTGACGAAGTTGAGGGTTTCAGTTCCCCCCAAGTGGACACCTGAGGAATTCATGGCAAATGTATCGGTTCCATCTGGCTCAGGTAAAAATGAATCTGATGAAGAAGAGAACTCAGTCGAAGTATCTAAACCAGAGCCTGCTCAACATGCACCTTTGGTTGATTGCATTAGAACACGCTGGCCACGTGCAACTTGCAATTGGGAAGGGGATGCACCTAGTATCGTTTGATCGGCTAGTTAAGTTTCCCAAACTCTGCTTGGGCTCTCTATTGAGGTTAGAGTTTTCTGGGGAGTGAAAGAAGAGAAGGTCGTCTTCTCTCTACATTCTCCCATCTGAAATGCGGGCTACAGTGTTATAACTGCTTTACATGACATTTACAGTGTTAATTTTCTGAAACGAGAGGGTATTATGGTGTTGAAAATATTATCGTTGTCCAAACCTGTAGAATAAATGTAGTTTGTTAAGCATGAGGTTTTCAATCACATCATAGGTTATGACTTGTTGCTGTAACTAAAGCCTTCTTTGTACTCGTTATTTGTTGATGATCAGCCTAGTTTTCTTTATGAAGTTTTTGATGAATCTCTATTCTAAAAACCATTTATTTCACACATAAAACCTTAACCCAGTATCTAAATTGAATGCCAAGAAAATTAAACCACAGATATTGTATACCTAATAAAATTATTTCAAATAAATTGAAGAAATACAACCTTCTACCAATTCTCGTACGACGCCGTTTAAATCAACCTGAATGCTGTAACTGAACGGCACAAACTTTTGAAATTTGAAAAGACCTTACAACGCCATTTAGAGCGGCTAGAAACAGAAAAAATAGAGCCATTAACCGCCTTAACAATTTTGAATTCTTTCCGTACACGTAATCAATATTTATATCATCTCAATTCATTCAAGAAATACCTTCTACAATTTCTCTATTTCTAATCCACAAAAAAACATGGATAATACAGCCAACAAGGAGGAGAAATCTACATTGAGAGCCATGGAAAAAAGCTTCGAGATGCAGAAAGAATCTATCAAGAAGAAGACCAAGGAACTCTCTGAAACTTGCGACGTCAAGGCTTGTGCTGTTATCATTGGGCCTGATGGGATGGTCGACACGTGGCCGGAAAATCGTAATGATGTGCAGGAGGTGATCAAAATGTACAAAAACTGTGACCCGGAAAGTAAACGGACTCGAGACCTTCATGGCAGGGATGATCACGGAAAAAATAAGGAGATTGCTTGTGTTGACTCGGAGGGGGTCAAGAATCCTACCAAACAAGAATTGTTAAGAAGGATCGATGCCAAATTAGCCCAAGTAAGGAATCGGATTCAGATCTTGAAGTCCAAAGATTGATCAGGGTTCTAATCAATTGCATCTGGATGAAAGACAGTGTTACAGGTTTCATTTCATTTTGATTTGAGTCAGTAAGAGGTGGTAATAGTGGGTATGTTTCTTTTCCATATTTAAAGGGATTCTCTGTGATATAGAGACAAGATGTGCTCCTTACTACAAGGATAGATGGCTTAAAATTATATTGTATTTAGTCTAAGCAAGAAATGAATGGATTAATGAATTATTTCTAATATATTTGAGTTGTTTTGGAGGTTTTGGTTTCTCGAAAACCTATCAATGGAGGTCAATACTTCCTCGAACAAAACAGTAAAGCCATGAATTCCTAAAATAAATACAGGAAAGCCAATATTAGCGTCAAAAGATAGAATAAAAGCAATGAAACCATCTATCTGCAATCCTATCAAACAGTCACTCCAAGCATTCGCGAAACTTGGACGCAAAATTTTGGAATTGACAGAGCCAATACCTTCCAGTTCACCTTCCTCCCATAATCCCATTCAAACCAATAGGCGGAACAGGAAATACGTTAAACAAAAAAAAAACTAACCACGCGACTCAACAAGCTCAAGCTCTGAAGCGCTGCCTATGGACAATTGCAGGACCTGATTCATTGTGTTCGCCCTTTGAAATCCACGTCTGCGCAAGTAAACAGATCTTAGCAGAGACTATCAAGCATCAAGACATGAGATAAGAAATCCGGAGTTTCACTAAGATTTCAAATAGCCATCCTGAAATTAAATTGATTTTAGAATAATGCTATGTGTACACAGTGGTGTACACATAGCATGGTCCTTGATTTTATTCATTACACATAGTTGCACACTTCTAACTTCTAATTTTTTCAATAAAATTTCTCTGTATGATAATAGATAGGGGGATGATTTTGTGTGTGTGGGTGGATGGTGGTGGTGGAAGCAGGGAGAAAATAATTGGGACAATTAAACTATTTGTGCAACCGTTGTTGACAATCTTCGTGTTATCAAAATTCGGCCAGTTGATTTAAAAAACAATTTTTAACAGTTTATAAAATGAATAAATGTGATGCTACCAAATGTGAAGTTCTCAATTAAGATTGTACAAGTAACATGATTCTAGTTAGAATCACCCATTGGAAAGTACCGAGCAATACCAAGATGCATCCTCCAATCCAAACACTGTATTTTCTCTCAGGTAGGGCCACCACCTTAATCTTCGTGCTACTGGGAGCAAATCTTCATGAACTCTACATCACATTTCACGATGGAGCTTTACATTGTTCAAAAAGTGAATAGGTACAGAATATTCTGACCGAACTGATACAGGAAATTAAAAGTGAATACGTGGCAAGGAAAGTTGAGTAAAAACCGGTTTTTACTCAAAGTGGAAAAACTCGGTCAAGAGAAGAAGAAAAGAACAAAACCGTCTAGGGATCACTGTTTCCCCCAAATTATTTCATTTCCTTCCTTGCCTCTCCTCCTCTAATCCAGCCACACCAACAGAAATCCGAATTTTTCAAGAACAAAATTCCGTTATGCAAAGGGACCAAAAATCCGTCAGCCACAAGATCACTTTCCTCCGGTTTTACAGTGATTTTTGCACCCCCATTTGCACCATAATTGTAGTATATCCTCCTGTAGACTCGTTCACCTCCCGCCAACACTGGTTTCTCCAGCTCCTCCTCCCCAACACATTCGGCCCATCCCATTGTTGATAGGAGTCACCGGCGTCCGTCGCCAAATCCGGAGACTTCCCAAGGTAATCGTTTGACTTAAGTGGGTTGGCTTGTTTAGTTGTTTTCCCTTATTAATAGTGTGCTCGCGCTTCAAAATTTAAGAAAAAAATGCTATTAAAATTTAAAGATGACTATTATTTCACTTTCGAAGAATTATTATTATTTTTTATTTTTTTGTCTCCTAGGTCACTTTAGCATTGACGTACCAACCACGAAATTATTTTAATTAATTGTTTATAAATTTTATAATTTGTTGATATTTGAATCCAATGGTTCTACTTTTCATTTTTGCTTCATGTGATGTCGCAAATAGTCACCATCTATGTTTGACGTTTTTCAATTTAATACTAAAAGCCATTAAGAATTTTTTTTTTCAGTCAATTGTAGTATGAGTAATTGTTTTGACAAAGTTTGATAATGTGATATCATATGTATAATTAGGTTGAAATTTGTGTCACTTTTACAAAACATCACTCAGTTAAAAACTCTATAGAATTGATTGATTTTAGGATTCGAACTTTTTTTTTTGTTCCAAATGAAGTCAATGAACTATCTTTGTTCTTGCAGTTTTAGCATTTATTAACATGGCTAATAAAAAATCAAAAAAGTGTGTGTGATCATTCTCATTTGCGTTCGTTTTGCATCGTTTTTCTTTATATGGGGAAAACTTACTTATTTGCTTTATGCAACGAGGGACTTCATATTTCACTAGCATTAATGTGAGTTTATTTGTTTCATTCACAGTTGTGTTCGATTAGAATGCAAGGAATGAATTTTAGAGTTTGCCACAGTTGTAGAAGTAATACTCACTACTTCTCACAATGCAAAACAATACGTAGATGCGCTGAGTGTAAACATGGATTTCGAAAATGTTTCGAGGTCGAACGAGATACTGTAAACAAAGGGAAATTGATCTTCACGTGCAGTAATGACTACGGATATTTCGACTGGGTGAAAAAAGAAGATTTAAACGGAGAATTGAGTACCATGAATGAAGTAGCGACTTATGAGCCCAAAGAAATAACCGGGGAATCGAGTAATGATTGTGAAGACTTGCCAAGAATATTTGACAGTCTAGCCCGAATAATCGAGAAACGAGACATCGACATATCATTGCACTTAGCATTTCGCAAGGGAAAAGAAATTGCCGAATGTAATGGGAAAGGAAAGGGATCGACTTGAACGGGTAATAAGAGTTAAGTTTGTGGTAGACGGAGTACTATGACTTCATTTCGTATTTGCTATATGGTTTATTGTAACGGACGACCTTGTTGGTCATAGTAATGTTGAGGTCGGTTACTACGTTGACATATCTTGTTCTACGTTGACATATCTACGTTTTAATATATTATGTTGAACTTTTGCACCGTCGAATGTTTATTCCACTTTTGATAGTCAGGGTCGGCTTTTATATGAAAATGTGCTTTGTTGATGGAAATAGGCAACATTGAACGAAAGGCAGGGTGATTTTGGTTTACAAGAAAAGAAAACCTTAACAAAATTAAGAGGAATAAACTAAAATAAACAAGCCAGAGAATAAGTAAATAAATCAACTAAATAGGCAAAAATCAAGTCTAAATCGATTACAATCAATTCCAGCCGTGCCCATCTTAATCATCACGCCAACATTATCTTATTGGATTGACAATCAAACAAACAAGTTATTGAATGTCATTGTACTACCTCTCCATCTAAGCAAGACAGTTCAAATGTTTCCACTACAATCTGTAGGGGTATACAGAAATAGAACAATCAGAATAATCCCGTTAAATGGAACAAAGACAATATAGAAGAGGTGAACTTTTTTATTCCTGCATATACGATTGTAATCACTTTTGACAAAACTTGGAAACTACTTTAAGAAAATCTCTAGTAGCAGGTGGAAGTGCAGCTGCTCCCTTTTCCTGTGGGCAATGTCAAACAACAGGGTTACAAAATGGAAAATGATGAACATGGAAAAGAACAAAAGGGCATGTGAAGTGGAAAATGACTAATAACCATGGCGTAGGTCATGTGAAATGGACAATTATGTAGCTTTGATGTAGTAAACTACAATTCAATATATGTGTACAACAATACCTTCCAAGTTATAATCACAAGCATGTGCCACCTTGATCGGGGAAATTTTGATAATAGTATGGCATCACTTCACCTAATCCAAAGGAAATAGAGTTAAGAAATGCTTGAATTAAATAACGATTCGTACATTATTAAGAAATTTATTTATAACTACCCGGAGTGTTCATAATTCCATTAGTAACCGCCGGTGTGATGAAGGTTGAATACGGCAAGTGTTCTGTGACGGCTTCATTAGCATTGTAACCCTGCATGAAAAACATCATGTTTAACAAGTCAAACCAGTTAAATGGTTTAGGTGTCAGTGTATACTAACAACAATTAGGTGTCGTGAATATGAGAACGATGTCGGCATAGAACATTGTGATAGTCGAGATTCATGGACGTTGGCTGCAGCCTCGTCCGTATTACTAGGCCTAGCTATTTGCCTCTTCCCTTTGTTCGAAGTTGATGTGGACTGCATTGTCTTCGACTTGAATCAGAACTCGAAGCCCTATTCCCAATCAATTAAACAAGTAATGGATAAACATACCTTCACTTTCCTCGAAGTGGACTCTATGGGCTTTTCCATCGACATTTCCTTGGCGCGCCCTTCCTGTTCGATGATTTAGGATCTAATATGCTCTGCTGTCAGTATTTTGCGAAGCAGTACAAGTGGAGGTTGACAGAATAATATGCAGCGAAAGGGCAATGCTTCCACTACTCAACTTTGCCATCCGCATTTGTTCTGCTTGCAATTTTACCCACTCTATTATTGCACGTGGCCACCCTTCGTCATCTGCAGCGAGGTCTGTCACCTTCGTAAAAGCCTGACACATATCGTCATATCTCAACTGTCCTGGAGTACTTCCTAACCCGCATAATTCACGTCGACCCTTGTGTGTGCTCTACTGACATCTCGCCTCCATCTCCGTAAAATATACCTATCAGGCATTGACGTGATGTCGTTACAGATCAGGACTGTGATTGCATGTCTGCAAATGATTACTTGAAATTCAAACAGGTGGCAACTATATACAATTTCACGAGTATCCCTCCGAAATGAAACACAAAATGTCTTTTTCTTCCGGTACTCGTGCTATATGATATGTTCTCGGATCTCGTAAGTCGTCCAAAAACATTCTTTCTTCTCAGATAAGACATCGCAATATACATTCTCAGTGAACTCATTTTGAACTTCACTGAACTTAGAAATGGTGTATATTGCCTGAAA